ATTAGGGCGGTGCATTTGTTACAATTGAGTCAATAACGATACGTTATTATTAACTAACATCCTAGCTGGTTTTTCAGTTCATTCCTTGTCCATTCTCTGCAAAGTTATTTTTTTTTAATAATCTTGTCCAGACTTCATATTTATTGCTTGTCGGAGGCCTAGTCTGGTGATACAGTTCCTCCAACATTATCAGAGGCAGGATCATCTGATACATTTATTTTTGACTCCTGTATCAGTTTTGTGTGTGTGATTTTTTTTTTTTTTTTTTTTTTTTTTTTTTGGAAAAGTTTACAAAAAACTTTTTAAATAAAAGGAGTTCCTGAAGAAGGTGATGGCAGAACGTCTAACAAGTCCATGGGTGGCTGTTAAGTCTTGCTGCCTTTTAGTGTTGTGATTCACACACCAGGGGACCCTACATACAGTGCAGTTTATCAGTGTCTCTAGGAGTTAATCTCCAGAAAGTGGAAGCAAGAAAATGAATGTAATTTCAGGAGGTATTAATCTAGCACCAAGGCTGAGGTTGTCCTGAAACTCACAAAAAATATCCGAAGTCCTTTGGTTTAACCTTGTTTGCAGCTACCTCCTGCTTATCTGGAAGATGAAGCCGCTGATAAAATGAACACAGGTGATCTCGTATCTTGATTACCCACTACAAATTGCATCCTCCTAGTTTTCTCCTTTTTTTTTTTTTTCTTCTTCTTCTTTCTGGATGCTCATGAAAAAGAAGTAGGCCTGGATATTTTAAAACTCCTTTATTCTCCCCTTAAGCTCTGTGGTAGATGTTCTGAATAGCAGCCCTATGAGATGCCCCACAGCAGGGATACCTACAGAATCCTACAGAAGTCTTACGGAAGGCCAGGTGGCTAAGAATCTGCCAGCAGAAAGGTCTGAGGTACTTCATCTCCTGGTCAGCCAGGCACTGTGTGTGCTGCCGTAAGAGCATCTGGCTTGGGTCCAGCTCAGGCGCCGGCACGAATGTCAGGGGGAGTTTATAGAGTCACAGTGCGGGGGACCACACAGGCTGGGACGGCTGATGGGAGGAAGCTGGCCGGGGAGACAGAGTCCGGGGCTCAGGCCTCTCCTGCCCTTCCTCGGAGCACGGCGGGTGGATGGTTCCTTGTCGGAGGATGCCAGACAGGCAGGCGTGGGTCACCGGTGACGAGGAAGTCGTGTACTCGGCCATGTGTTGAGGACCGTGGATGATGGGGGAATGGAGAGAGAGAGAGAGCAGAAGAGGAGCGTTCTGCGTGCAGGCAAGGGCCCGGGTGGCGAGGCCCTGCCCAACAACAGAGGGTCCGACGGTGTGAGAGGAAGCTGCGCTGTGCGGGCCACGTGGGCAGGGGGAGCCACGCTGAGGGCTCTGAGGGGCCTCTTCAGAGCAGTTGGTGCAAATGTGCAGGGGTCTTCGGGGGGTGTTGCCAGCGGGTTTGCATTGGAGAGTGCTCACTCTGAGAGCCTGGTGGGGAGTGGTTTGGAGGGGCCCCGGGAACAGTGGGGAAAGCCACGAGGGGACACTGTGTGGATGAAGTCAGAAGGAAGGGTTTTGTGGGATGAGGTGGGGGTAGAGGGGAAGCTCGTTCAGGCTTGACCGACCAACTGGTGGATGTTCTGGGGGCTGTTGATCACGATGAAGAAGCCTAAGTGAGGAGCATGGCGTGAGGGGCGGGGAGGAGAAAGAACATGAGTTTCCCTCCTGGAAACGATTTCTTTGATTCCCAGGCATGGAGCCGGCCTGCCTCCGTTGTCACGGGAGCCCTCGGCACCCAGTGTGCTGCAGGAGAGGCACATAAAGGGGATGCCGTTTCTGAGCGAGCACCCGTCACTGGGCATCAGCCTTAGACTGAAGGCAGGCTTTTGCCTGGTTGTTAGCTCGGCAGGTAGACGAGGTTCAGGCCTGGGAGCCAACTTTCCAAAGTAGCGTGGGAGGGCCCTGTCCCGCTCACCCTAGAAATGATGGTGAGCTTGGCCACGGGAGCTGAGCGGTTGTAAGGACCAGGCTCGGGCAGGTGGGTCTGGGCTTGGGCTCGTCCTGCACTCGCTCTGTCTCAAGATCGAGACTCCGATGGACTGTCGTCTGTTGTGGAGGTGGTCGTGCTTCGTGCTTGCCCCAGGTGCTTGTGAGGTCACGCTTGCACATGCAGCAGCGTTGACTTTCCGGTCTTGTTTTGCACCGAGGAGCGGGCTTTCCGACCTCTCCCCTGCTCCCCTGGCACTGTGGTTCTGCATTGTGACTCATGTCATTGGTGTGACTAGCTTTTGATTAGATGTGGACCTGAACCATACCTTGGGTTTCCTTTTAATCTGTTTGACCCTAAGGTGCGTCTAGTGTGGGTTACCTGCTCCGGATGGATTCTCAGAAAGATGATTGGGAAGGAAGGCAGACCAGTGCGTGCGTGCGTGGTGTGAATGGACGGTAAGCTATTAGTGTGTGTGCTTACCATGTGGGTGTGAGAGGAGTGTGTTTGTGGGCCATGTGTGCATGTGTGGTGTGGGCACGTGTGCCTTGCACGTGTGTGAAGGTGTATAGTGTGTGCATGCACACGACCAGCATGGGGAGTGGCGGATGGCTTGGAGGAGGCGCTAGCAGGTAGAGATGATGGGTGTCCTCGTGTAAGCTTCTTTTAAGAAACCTGTCCAAGCCAGAAAGCTACCTCTCCTTTCTTTCGTCCTCCCTGCACCCCATGTTTCCTGACTGCTTCGGGGTTCTCCGCCCAGCAGTCTCCCTTCTGGAGGGGAAGAGATGGGCTGGGTGGAGGTAGCGGTGGGGATGGGTCCCCTCTGGGGCACTTGTGTTCCGGCTCAGGTGTGGATCTCACTGGAGCAGGCCCTCCTGGTGTGTGGCAGGGGTCAGTGTTGGGGGGACAGTTTAGGCTCACCTGTAATGAGTGACCTTGCTAGGTCTTGAGGTCCTGGTTCTCATGTGATGGCTGAGGGAACACGAGCCCCTGAAGATCTGAGTGCTTGGAGTTCAGGGCAGGAGCCTTCAGGCATGCAGGGCCCGGGACCATGAGTATGGAAACCGCTGGAGCTCCTGTGACGTTGAGCAGTCACAAACCCAGGCCTTGTGTCGTTCCGGAATGTGTCGGTCACAGACATGTTGAGTGACGCCGTAGGGCCCCAGCAGAGCTCAGAAGGGAGAGACCCCAACCATGTTTAAATCCGATCACACTCTTCGATCCAGGGGGCTTCATGTACCTGAGCGCGTTGCCAGGGGCTTTGTTGACACGTACACTGCTCCTGCACGCTGTGGTGGGGCCGTCCGCCTCGGGCCCAGGCGGCTGCCAGGATCGTGCCTCAGGGTATGAGCGCACACACGCTGGATCAGTCCTGGGGGAAGTCCTTTGCAGTATTCAGCTTTTGGAATCTTCCTTACTGGGGCTAGCCTGAGCTCCAAATTTCAGAAAGAAGCTTCTCTTCCTATGACCACAGGAAATACGGGATGACTGTCCTCTTATTTTCTATTCATGCAGTCTTTGCTTAGGTAGACTTTTATTTTGGGGCTGTTAATTCCTAGGACATCCCCCAGGCTATTTTATATCATTTGAATGTAAAAAGGAAAGGCAGACCCCGTAGGTCAGTATGGAGAGGGATGGCGTGTATGAAGAACTGATATCACACATGCTTAAAAAACGTCCCGCGCTCTTTTCTAGTTTCATCCTACTAAGGAATGATCTCTAGATACTTGTGTGCTTTTGACAGAGCAATCCTACTTGTAGAAGTCCAACCTCAGAGCTCCTTGGCTGAGCTCTGAGCTCTGTAGGGGAGGGGGTCGTGTCGTTACCGGTGTTGTTTCTGCGCCGTTACCGGTGTTGTTTCTGCGCCATTACCGGTGTTGTTTCCGCGCCGTTACCGGTGTTGTTTCCGCGCCATTACCGGTGTTTCCGTGTCGTTACCGCTGTTGTTTCCGCGCCATTATTGGTGGTGTTTCCGTGTCATTACCAGTGTTGTTTCCGCGCCATGACTGGTGGTGTTTCCGTGTCGTTACCGGTGTTGTTTCCGCGCCATGACTGGTGTTGTTTCCATGTCGTTACCGGTGTTGTTGCCGTGTCATTCCTAGTGACAGAGGGTAGGCGTCTGTCAGTAGGGGACCCATTGCAGGTAACGTGCCGACTTGTGTGCATTGGCAGAGAAAAATGCCCAAGTTGTATTTAGAGCAACAAACAAACAAAAACGAAAAAACCCAACATGCAGAACAAATGTGAAGAGTGAACCTTGTTTACATAAAATAAATTCCTCTGTGTCTGAATGTATCTGTCCATCAGCACACAAAAGTTGTATGTCAAACTCTCAGTGGTGGTGGTGGGGGACTTTATTCTTTTGCTCTGTGTGTATTTCTGCTTTATTTGAATAGTGTACTGGGAGGAAGTATCCATATATTAAACATTAACCTGGATGTCATTTAGTTTTAAAAATAAGTTGTAGGAGATTACAATTTTTTTAGAAGATTAAATTTTTAAATAAAATATAATTAGGGTGTTCCTTTCCTCCAATTGGGAGCTTAGTCAAGCGTGTGAGGTCTCTATAACATCCAGGGCTAACTCAGTGAAGTGCCATTAATTGAGAAAAAGCATATATTCCCTTTTTTAGGGTGGGGAATGCTTTAATATAAACAAAGCATATTTGTGTAAGAGATTTATTCCTTCTCTCAGTTTGATCTTTCCCAAAATCCCATTTTACCGATGAGAAAGGCAAAGTACCTCGCCCCAAAGACAGTGGTGGGAGATTGATCACAGCCAAGTCTTTCTGGTTCAGGAGGCTGCTCAGTGGCACATTGGACTCTGATGCATTTCTGATCAAGAGCAGGATGGGAGAGGAAGCAGTGGTTTGTGTTTTAGTTGCTTTTTATAAGGTTAGAAGTTGTCCCCGAACAAGACACCCCTTTGGCTCTCTCCTCCTCTGCAAAATAGGGAGCTTAACTGGATGTCCTTCTTCTGCTAACATTCTGTGACCAGGGACCCTTGCTGTTCTCCTCTCACTGAGTGCTTGCTTCTTCCCTGCAGTACGTCGGAAGCCTGGATGTGCCGAGGCCCAACAGCAGAGTGGAGATTGTGGCTGCCATGCGCCGGATCCGGGTGAGTGGCTGGAGAGGGTGCTGTGTGGAGTCAGAACCCAGCATCTTCACTGTCAGCCCTTTAGATGGTGCTGGGGGTTCCAGAGTGGATGGCTGTACCCATGGCAAACCCCAGACCCCTTTCCCTGTACTCTCCAGGGAAGCCGTTCGGAGCTGGGTGGTTGATCTTGATTAAAGGCCAAGGTTAAGATGGATGTGATGGTGGTGGGGGGGAAACTCTTCTTCCCCCTTCTCCTGGCCTGTTGCTTCTGGAATGGAGATGCTGTACCTTGAGGATGTGTGGGGTCTGCCAGGGAGTAAACACGAATGGTGAAGGATCTTTGTTTATTCAGATTTTAGGGAAAATGTTTGATAATTAGTTGTCAGCTGGCTCAAAACATTAAAAAAGTAGAGCAATTTATTGTGGTATATAAGAAGATTGACTTGAATTTTTAAGGACAAATTGTGGGATTTCAGCAAAATTTCCATGGTCAGTTGCTTTAGGCTCTGAAAGTGTGTACGTTCTTTTCTGGCATTTTGGGGATCTTCTAGCAGAGTCTGGTAAACATTCCAGCCTGTTGCTTTCTGACTCTGGTACACAGAGCAGAGTTTGAACAAGAATTAAGTTGTCTTCTGATCACAGTGAAGGAATTTGTCCATGTGCTCTGTATTGAAATAGAAGCTACTTTAAAGTTGTACATTTCGGAGGTAGGTTTGGGATTGGTCGAGTGGATTTGCAGGACTTTTTGGAGAAAATGGGTTTTGGAGGTGGCTGGATCGGTCATCCTGGATAAAGCCTGGTTTGGGCTCTTTGTCTCCAGAAGAATCTACTGCCTAAATAGAAAACCTATAGCAGATGTTGGGAGCTTCAGTTGGCTTTTTGCCAATTTTACTTCCAGCCAATTCATCCCATCCACAGAAATCTCAGTTCAATGGCAGCAGTTTAGGAAGAAAATTAATATTGTTCCTCTTTCTCTGAGCAGCTCGTTAGCTTATGAAGTAACTTATAACATAACTTTTTTGGGGCGCCTGGGTGGCTCAGTTGGTTAGGCGTCTGACTCTTGATCTCAGCTCAGGTCTTGATCTCAGGGTCGTGAGTTCAGGCCCCGTGTTGGGCTCCATGCTGGGAGTGGAGCCCACTTAAGAAGAAAAACAAACAAACAAACAAACAGAAAAAAACAAACAAAAAACGTTTTCACTGCCTTGATCCTTCCAGTCCTTCGGCATTTTTTTTTTATTAAGTTGAATTTGTCAAAACTATTAAAAACAACAATGCTGTTTTTCATGGAGGTGGGAGTTGCTTTAAAGCCCTTTCACATGGGTTCATTCAATGGTCACAGCAAGCTGGGGAGTGTGGGTCTTGTTACCCTCATTTTTGAGATTAAACTGAAGCTCGGAGGGGTCGTGAGGAGTCCCAGGGTCTAGGAAGTGGTGGGCATGTGGCCCGAGTGCAGTTCCCCACTTGGTGTCAAGAGACCACATGAGATCCTTTGTCCTTGTGGCTTCTGGCTTGCCATTCAGTATATTCCCAGGTCTCTCCTCTTTTCTTCCCTCCTCTTTCTGCTCAGAGAGCACAGCGGCCTTGGGTAAGGGGTGTCAGGTGGGGCTCCCTCATGCTCGGACGGCCTGCTCTCACTGAGGTTGGCACCGTTGCAGCTGTTAGGCCTGGACCTGGGGCTGTCCGGTCCTTGGGGTTTCACCAGAAATGTCCCTCTTTTCTTCATATTTGACTAAGACACAGGAAATATGTTGTCATGAATACCCTTATCTTAATTAGAGTCATAGCTCTGTTAATATTAGCTGTCAGGAGTAATAATGCATGTCGGGTGCTTTAGTTGGCCTTTTAGTGTAGAAATAATTTATTATCTATTATTTGCAACTACTCGAGATGAGGATATTATCACATTTTGTAGGTGAGGGAACAGAGTTTTGGGGAGGCTCAGTAAGTGGTCCTAGGTCAAGTTGCTGTCAGGAGGTGGAGCTGGGACTCACACCCAGCATGGGGCTGTGCCTCTGTGACCAGCTCTTTGATGCGGGTTTGGGTGATGCGTGCCCCGTTGAACCAAAGGGTTGGGATGTGGGACTTCCCTAGTCAGGGAGTCCACAGCAGAAACACCCCTTTGTAGACGGAATAGAGCAGACCTGTGCAGAAAACATCTCCTCAAGGCTGGGGTGTCCGGTAGGACTGGTCATGCCCTGGGAGCTGGGGGCCTGCAGGGCTGGAGAGGCCCCATCACCTCTGCCCTCGCCACCTGTTAGCCTGCGTGACCCTGGCCCCAGGAGCTCCTGAGCCTGTGACCTGCTTCCAGTGCTTAATGAGCGAGCTGCTCATTCAGTTAGAGGGAGAAATACATTGGCCAGAAAGCTGCTTGGTCTGGCTGGCCGGGCCCTTGTGTAGACGGGCCGCCCTAACAGCAAGCACTCTGGGTGTGTGTTTTACCCCAATTCACTGCTCAGTCCAGGCTGCTGTTTTCTCTGGTTCTCTCCCTTCAAAAGAGCTGTTTTGGCTGTAATTACAGTTGTCGAGAACCAGGGCCTGGGATTTCTGTGTAAAGGACTGTTCCTGACTTTCTTTTATGTGGAATGGTGCCAGGCCAATGTTGGGCAGGACATTTTGGGGTTTGCGTGGCTGGATGCTCTTGCAGATCTGAAGACGCAGGCCTCCCAGTGTGGCCAGTGCAGAGGGCTGGTCCTCCGAGAAGCCACTGTGATAAGGATCACGGTGTCTTACATCTGGGGGCCTTGCCAAGCCCTTTACGTACGTGCCAGTCTCCACGATCTCTCCGGTGCTCTGCGCGGGACGGGGGATGGGGCAGTGTAGACGGAGGGAAGCCCACAGAAGGAGAAGCGACTGGCCTGAGGGGGGCCGCGTTCATCCTCGGGGCTGGGGCCGCAGCAGGTATATGGGCCCCTCTTCCTTCCTCAGTTCCCCACTGTGGGGTCGACTCTGCACTGAATATGTGGACTTCATTGATTTGACCGTGTTCTTCATCTTCTCCCCCGTCCGCCTCCCATTTCTCATTTGTTCTCTGGCTGTATAGATTTTCTTTTAAAATTTATGTTACCTGTTTTGGGCATCTTTTTTTTTTTTTTTTTTTTTCCTTTTTTAATGTGCTTTCAAGATTTTTAAAATAATGTTTAAAAAACACAACATTGGGGCGCCTGGGTGGCTCAGTTGGTTAAGCGTCTGCCTTCAGCTCATGTCATGGTCCCAGGGTCCTGGGATCGAGCCTCGCATCGGGCTCCCTGCTCCGCGGGAAGCCTGCTTCTCCCTCTTCCTCTGCCTGCCACTCCCCCCTGCTTGTGCTCTCTCTCTGTCAAATAAATAAATAAAATCTTAAAAAAAAACCCCACAACATTAAACGTGACCATTTTTAAAAGCAGAGTTCAGTAGTGTCGCTCACATCGTGCCACAGATCTTTCTAAAACTTCTTCCTCTTGCAAAACAAACTCTGTATGAAACACCAGTTCCCTTTCCTTCTTCTCCCGGCCCTTGGCAACCACCTTTATACTCTGGTTTCTATGATTTTTGGCTGCTTAGATACCTCATAAATGGAATCCTACTGTATTTGTCATTTTGTGACTGGCTTAATTCATTTCGCATAATATCCTGGAGGTTCGTCTGTGCTGTGGCACGTGACAGGATCTCCTTCCTTTATGAGACTGTGTAGTAGTCAATTGTGTGTATGCAATTAACACACTTTCTTTACTCATTCATCTGTTGACGGACACTTGGGTCTCTTCCTTTTCGCTGTTGTGAATAATGCCGCAATGAACATGGATGTGCAAATATCTCTTTGAGATCCTGCTTTGAATTCTTTTGGATCTATACCCAGATGTGGGATGGCTGAATTATGTGGCAATTCTATTTTTAATGTTTCGTATTGTCTTCTATAATGGTTGTATCATTTAAAATTTTCACCCATGGTACACAAGGGTTTCAAGATTTTTTATTTTTTATTTATTGTTTTAGTAACATGTGCCTTCTTGGGGCTTGGATATTTGAATAGATGGGCTTTCCTTTTTGGGAAAGGATCTGTTGGGGTGGGAATCACAAAGCACGGGGGGTGGAGGGGGGTGGAGGGGGTGTCAGGAAGCAGAGCATACTGCCTTCACAGAGACTTCCTGGCTGAACTGCCCCATGCCAGGGCATGGAGGTTCCTTGTACTTCTGAGGATGGGGCTTGGGGTTGTGAATGGCTGTAACTTCAGTGTTCTGCCGTCTTTCATACGAGGTGGCACCCACGTGGATGACTCATCAGAACTTCTTAGAAAAACCTCTGAATGTAGCCCCCCGAGTAGAGCCCCTTCCGGCCTGCCCTGGTCCCGTTGTGTCCCTCTGCCTGGGCATACAGCCCTAGGTCAGGCTCCTGGGGGCCAGAGTCGGCCTGCTCCTGGGGCTGGGTGTTTAATGAGAGCCTGAGAGCTGGCAGGTGGCGGAGGAAGAAGCGAGGAGCAGAAGAGCCAGCCCCACCTGGGAAAGGGTGTTCAGTGCTTCCTTTTGCTCTATCCCTTGTGCGTTATTTAGAACTCCACTGTTTACAACTTAAATCTGCTTTTGCGTCTGTTTGATCACCCTGTGTGTTCCTGGTTGCTCTCCTGTGTGAGAAGTAGGAGGACGGGGACCCCTGGCTCATGGTGCACTGGCAGGACATACGTGCCTTGGCTCATTCCTCCATTCTGCAGGTGTTTCTTGAGCACTGTATGCTTCGCTGGCATCCGAAGATTCTGTTGGGTGCTGGTATTTGGCCACGGACAAGACAAGCACACGAATAACTGTTTAAGTTATTAGGCGAGGGGCAAGAAGTTAGCAAGTGTGTAACTGGAGATCTAGCCCAGTTTGGGGAGACAGGGAGGCCTTGTGGGCTCCTGAGATGGAACCCATGATTAGCAGATGCTACAGCCGAGTGACCCCCGCCCCCCAGCTGAGGATGTCGTGGCTCAGGGGACATGGCCCCTCACAGCTACCTCTGGGCCCCAAGTGCTTCACTTCCTGCCTGGCCATCTCTGCAGACTCTGGGGA